TGAAGATATTTTTAGACAGTCAGGTCAGGTCTTATGTTTTCTAAATGAGTTATTGAAGCTGTTACATAATAATGAAAGAATTTAAAGCAATAAAGACAAGCCTGGCATTCAGAAGACAATGAATACAACTCAGAAAATCAGTGAAAGGAAGTCATAGTGTGATAAAGGTAAAGACTGGAAAGCAACCAACTCAAATTAGTGTGAAATGGTGGGAGGACTTTAAAAGTTATTCTGGGGGAAAAAGCAGAGATTTCTAGACCAGAATATATATACACTGTTTAATTGCGATAATTAAACAAACCCTTAATAACATACAGGCCTAGAAATCAAGAAAGAAATTTAACTCTGGGGGAAAAATGTCTGTATGAGAAATTCACAATCAAACAATATATCCAACTAAAATATAGCATGATTATAAGTAAATGATGGAGCATAAACTTCAAAAATAAGAATATAATGTACGTGGTGCATTAGGCACAGCATTGGACTCATGGATATACTAATCCAATCTGGTACATTACTTGGCCAAAATGTTCTTATTATTTACACAATTAAAATAGAGTATATGTTGATGACTAATTTTTTTTCACATTTAGATACAAAATATGTGGGGGAATGAAGGACTTGATTGTGGTTGTGAAACAGCATAAAATACTAATATGACCTTCAAATGTAAAGGAAAAGTGAATCTTTTCCACCATGATCAAGGGGCATTACTCTCTGAGGGTCACAGAAGTAATGATATTGTAAGAAAAGAGAAGGAAGTCTAATACTTGGCATTGTAGTAAACAACCTTATACAATTGTAATCTTATGAATTTTTTTATTTTTAACTTTTAGAATCAATTATAAATAAATTGCGATTATAGAAACCAGTGACATAATATAAATTTTCAAGATGTAGAAGTAAAGGTTACAATAGCAATGGCAGAGGAGATGAGAGAGGAAAAGGGCACTAAATGTCTCATTAAGTCAATGGAGGCATTAAGTCTCAATTTTCTGTGGTTAATAGAACAATAAATCGAGATTTAAATATGTTGAATGTTTTAGAGTAAGCCAATGGAAACAGCCAGACCAGCTGTATTTCATTCTAAGTATTTGGGGAGGGAAGGGCCAGGTAGACGAGGTCTCATCAATTGAGTTAAATTTGTGCTGATTGTAAAAGAAACCGGAGGTAACTTCCAAGCTTGACAAATCAAGACATGATCACATTAAAGGTAAGGAAACTATTGACAGAAAGAAATTAACCTATACTCCAAATAACAGTAGCGTAAGATATGGCAGCAACCACCAGAACTACGAACAGAAACATTTCCAAGTGGGGCCCCTTAAGAAGCAAAACAGAGATGAGGCAGGAAAGCACTGTCCTGCATCATAAATCCTGGAGGCAGACTAGTTCATCTTTAAACAGGTGGTTTTCTTTATAATATACTGATTAAAACAGAAGTAGTCCACCACGGCTTTCAATTTCTACTAATACCATCCGGTATGGTTTTGCCCACAGTAAGATGAAAGAAACTACTTTCTAAACACACAATTCTCTCTAACTCTATAATTTGATATAAGGAAATACTAGTTCCTCCTGAAAAACCAAACAACTGTTATCTTTTCTAAAAATTGCATTGCCAAGGGTTTTCTGTTCTTGGATGTCAGTACTGTTACTTGAAAGATTACATAAAGTAATTGGGTTGATGCTAATGTTACTACTTCAGTTCCAAAAGCAAATAGATGATATATACAAACACACATACCACCCTAAAAGCTGCCCTCTCGCCTATAATTTCCATATTCAATTGATTCGAGTTTTATTTCCAATGAGATGTTCAATGCAATAAACACATACATTTAAAAAGCACTCACCATTCCCTTAACTGAGTGTGAACGTAGTTGGAGAAATTGAAGGCTTTTCCAAAGCTAGCACTGCAATGGCACAGTGATTGCTACACCCCCCTGAACTCTGAAGATATCTCTCCATTGGGTGAGAGCTCGGAGTTACCTGCAGGCCCCTTTTCAGCATCACAATGTGGCCTTCTCATTAGTCACTTTAAAGAAATTACAAAATGCAACCGCATCAAGTGACTGTTTCCAGATCTAGATTCGAGCCAATGAAATCACATATTGGCCAGATCTCTATAAGTACAAAAAAGGTTTTGCAGAAAGGGTTTGTGACTGAGTTTAGGCTATGTGACACCGGGACGATTCTCTTTTCACGTGTATGCTGCGCATTATAAAGCCAGGAAAGCACAGCCCTTCTGTCCCACAGCGGGTGCTCAGTAAAGACAGCTGAATTCGAAGCTCAGGCCTCTCCACGTGTGGGTAACATTACAGGGAAGACTGAACCCTGCCAAGTGTCTGTGGCCCTGCAGAGCCGCTCCCAGGATCTGGGAAGCACTGGAACACCCAAACTGCCGCGCCCAGCTTGCCTGAACCTTGATAAGGAAGGCCTGTATTCCGGATCTGGACCATCTGGCACTTTAAAGAATTTGTTTTTTTTGTAGTTTGCTGGTTTCTTCTATTTTTTATTTATTTTTATTTATTTTTATCTTTATTGTTGAAAGTATTATAGATGTCCCTCATCTTTTCCCCCAGTGACCCCTCCTCTCCACTCCCACCCCTTCAGACTTCCCCACACTATTGTCTGTGTCCATTGCTTATGCATATATGCATATAAATTCTTTGGTTTATCTCCATAATCTTTGGGCAAATGCACTGCAGAACAATTTAAAAAGCCATTATCTCTTTTTCGAAATACTTTTCATTGAAAGAGTTAAGTCATTTTACTTGGAGAAATTAACCATTTAACCATTCATCATTAATTTATTTTGTATGATTTTTTGCAGCCTTTCGAAAACCCTGATTTCAATGATTTTTCAAAGTCTTTGCCTTAGCGATGCTAAGAAAATAAACATAAAGTACTCAATTTTACTGGGCCTGTAGCTTTAAAAATTGGTTTAATGCTTTTTACTCGGTTAAAGAAAAGTCTCAGTAAAAGCTTTTAAAAAAATTCACAGTTAAAACTGAAACAATCCCAAGAAGTGACTTTATTTGCATAATGAACTGTATTTGGAAGAAAATTTCACTGAAGACAAGAATGGCAGCTTATCAAATCAGAATTTCACAAAGATTTTTCATAGCCCTCCTAATGAAGACAGACTCGTTGGTCAGCTTTGGTGAACAGTTAATGGGGCTCTAAGTAGCAAATGGACACAGGGAGTGTTCTCAGAAGTCCGCGGTATCAGTGTGAAGGCTGCCGCAGGCACCCAGCCCTCTGCTGCCTTCGGAGGCAGGGCTGGAGCACCAGTTACTCACTCTGCAGCGTCTTGATTGGGCCAGACCCTGCCACTGAATCAGAAGACTTTTCGTTTTGCCAGAGTCATGCCACCTTTGGACTTTATGTCAGATCGGGATTGTTTGGGTTTGACATTTTTTTAAAGATGGCAGGTAACCTGTAACTGAATCCAGTCTAAGAAAATGAAAATCCGTGGGATGGATTCCAAGGTAGAAACGAATATTAGTATGTTATTATATGTAATTGAATGCGAAGAGGATCAAATACTGTCTGTGGCACTTGAAAAGAACGTTTTCAGAGAGTAAAAGTCTGAGATGAGTCGATTTGGAATATGTGCTATTTCCACTCGAAATGCTTACATTCTAAGAATTTTCCACTCTATTAGTGATATCCATGCTCATGCTTCACAAAATTTCACCTTCTAAGACTGGTGAAATGACAGATGATTTTTGTGATATGTTCATCTGTTTCAAAGTGGACTGAAATTGATAGATCAGTTATTGTAAACTATTTAAATAATTCTCATATTAAGAGTTGCTAAAAATATGAGAATCTGCTTTGCCTTCTTTCTAATAAGTAATTGTATATTAAATCACTTTTTGACATATAAAAATCAGTCTTTCAATTTTGTTCTCAGAGTTTATTTTCATTTTTTAAAAATATTTAACTTTCAAAATATATTCATCAGTTAGAAAATCTGAAAAACAGAATAATAGACTCGACACTATGTTTCCTTGGTCAGAAAAATAACATATTTTTGTTGTGTGATCTATAAGATAAATTCCAGTTATAAAAATCTATCTACCTAGTCAGTCCATCCATCCAACCTTTCATCTATCTGGCATGTTAGCAATAATAACAACAGTAATAAATAATAATATTATTAATAGTAGTGAATATTAATTGAATACTTATGTCCCAGAAACTCTGTTAAATGCTTTACATAAATTATCTCATTTATTTCTCTCAGTGGTGGGTATAAGTATTCCCATTTAATAGATGAAATATCTGAGACTCAGAGAGATCATAACTTGTTCAACATCATCCCAAATGAGTGGTAGAACCAATTCCAGTGAGTATAATGCCAGAGTCTATGTTTTTCTAGTCGGGGGTGGGGGGGTAGGTTACTCTAGGATATTTTATTCTTTAGATATATCCACCAAAATACCTGCTTATTTAAGTTTAATTGGAGCTCTCAGTCTTCCAGATCTCAAATCCCCAAATTTTCATGATACTATTTTGTCTTGGACTTTCTTCCTAGCTCTTCTCCCTAGCCTTTACTTCAGACTATAACTAGGGTTATAAGATAACTGATTATCCAAATCAGGACATGCCTGAGAGTAGAAAGCGCTGCTATTATTAGGTATGCGGGAGCAATAGGTATAAGTTGGGATTGTCCAGACACATGGAGACATGGAGTCATTGTAATGGACCACTAAGATGTCTCTTCTCTGTTCCTGGTGCTGGGCTCAGATTCACTGAGGGCAAAACTAAGTTGTGTTTTTCTTTTCAATAATCCTATGATGCATCCTTTATTTTTTCGTGGTTATTCTTCTGGACAATTATTTTTTTTCTCTCCTATAGAGCAGAACATTTAATAAGCAACCTAAAAAGAATAAAATATCCTACTATTCTTTTAGAGCTGAATAGCTATGGTCTCAGAGGCACATTCATTTATCACTGCTACAATAAAAGTATAAAATGTCTTGTACCTTTAATAAGTCCTTTTTCTTGCAGAGTTTTCAGGGAAGGTCTTCGGGTAATAAACTTCTTTAATCTGCTTTTAACTCGGTTTTTGTCGCTTGTATCGGAAGCACTATGATGCAGTCTGAACACTGGAGATTTAAAAAAAAAGGTAGAGGCTTTCAGTAAATTTCTCCTTTATGATTATTACTTTATACTAATATGAATAGAAAACAGTAGTTATGGAACAACTCCCTGAATTAATGGCTTAGGCCCTTCTGCTTAGACAGGGCATATGAGTAAAGATTTGCCCGTAGGAAAATATAAGCTCTGCTGCAGCAGGAGTGTAAAGTGAGAACGTGGTTAGTGCCACAGAGTCACAATTTATTTTCACTTTTATTCCCTCACAGTTAACATAATAACCTTTGCTGGACAATTCTACGTATCTGTATCTATACACAAAATTAAGTTCAATGAAAAACTCTTCTAAACAAGGGGATAAATACTTTAGAATGGCTAATTTTAACTAATTATGATTCTATATTACCTGTAGGTAATGCAGGTATTTTCAAAGGTCCTGCTTGCCCAGATAATTTTGTCAATCTTTTTTTCATGTTAACCCAAAGTGATTTCCTGAAGAAGATATTTTTTATTCTTAGTGATGTCAAATGACCACCAGTTCTGGGGGAAATTCTGAAGCACAAATTTGCCTCAAACTTTTTCTGTGTCTTTAGCAGTCTCCTATCATCAGCTTCCTATCCTCACCTTTACCTTCCAAATTAGGTGTCAAATTCACTCCTGAACAAATATTTGTGAATGTCTACTGATCATCAGGCTCCATGCTAATGGTTGGGAATTCAATGATAAACATAACACTTCAGGTCTGACCTTCATTAAGCACAGAGTCCAAATACACCCAAGGTATCTATCTTATTATAAGTAATTGATAGAAATTTATTGTCTCTATATGGTAAGAAACAGATATTCACTGGGTCTTCCACCATCTTAAAACAATTATTGACATAATGTGAGAATTTTGTGTACTTTATTAGGTACAAAGAACCTGTTTTCCTTTCAAAGTATACCTTAGAATAAGCCAATCATTCAAGTGAATGAACAATAATATATCTAAAATGCATTGAGACCTTATTATGTACTTGGTATCCTCCTAAGTATCTACCATGATTTCACTTTATTCTACTGCAATCTAAACTTCATGTGGGTAGGAATTTTTACTTTTGTAAATGTTGTTCATTAATGTGTCCCTAATACCTCAAATATTGTTTAATATATAGCAATGTTCAGCTAAAATGTATTGATCAATTATCACAATGATCTTTTGAAATATATACAACAATCCTACATATTTTAGAGATGAAGATGCTAAGGCAGAAAAAATAAGTAACTTGTTCAAGGTCAAGTCTGGTTATGAGGCTAGTCTCATAGAACTTTTATCTGATACTCTCATTTATTGAAGTACTGGTGAAAGGATGGAAGAGGAAGGAAAATAAAAATATCAGGAGCTCAGTTACTCATTTAAAATGGAAAGGCTTCAATCAAATACATTTTTTATGGCTTTAAAATTAATAAATCAACATGACTTACAGAAAGAACTTGCAGTGGGAGATCAGAAATGATGTGGCAGTTCCAATACAGGAGAACTTAAGCCAACTCCTCCACATTCTTCCTCCCCTCCCCCCATGGCAAGCCAACATGTTTGTATTAACTATTTCTTTTTTTTTTAATTGATTTATTTGTTTTTGTTACAGATGTTTCTCCTTTTTCCCCCACTGATTCTCCCCTCCCCCTCCCTCCCTTCCCTGTTCCCAGCTTTGTTGTCCATGTCCATTGTTCATGCATACATGCATATAAGTTCTGTGGTTTATCTCTCCCCCCAAACCTCCTCTTCTGGGGATTGTCAGTCTGTAGCCCACTTCCACGTCTCTGGGACTACTCCATTCCTCAGACTGTTATGCTCATTATAGTCCACAAATAAGTGAGATCATATGATACTTGTCTTTCTCTGTTTGGCTTGTTTCACTTAGGATAATACTTTCCAGGTCCCTTCATGTCATCTCAAAGAATAAAAGATCTTTCTTTCTTACAGCTGCATAGTACTCCATTGTGTATATATACCACAGCTTTTTTATCCATTCGTTTACTGATAGACATTGGGCTGTTTCCAGATCTTAGCTATTGTAAATAGTGCTGCTATGAACATGGGGGTACATATATTTTTTCTGATTGGTGTTTCAGGCTTCTTAGGGTATATTCCTAGAAGTGGGATCACTGGGTCAAATGGCGTTCAATTTTTAAATTTTTTTTTTTATCCTCACCTGAGGACATTTTTCCATTTTGTTGTTCAGGTAGAGTGGAAGAGAGAGAGAGAAAAAACATCAACGTGAAAGGGACACATCGAGTGGCTGCCACCCACACAACCCCCACGAGGGCCGAGGACAAACTGCAGCTGAGGTACTTGCCCTTAGCGGGAACCAAACCCGGGTCTCTCGGGACCGCAGACCAACGCTCTAACCACTGAAACAACCTGGCCAGGGCTCAATTTTTAATTTTTTGAGGTAACACCATATTGTTTTCCATAGTGTCTGCACCAGTCTGCATTCCCACCGGCAGTGTACTAGAATCACCTTTTCTCCACACCCTTGCCAACACTTGTTTGAAGATTTGTTGATGGCGGCCATTCTGACAGGTGTGAGGTGATACCTCATTGTTGTTTTAATTTGCATCTCTCTGATGATTAGTGATGTTGAGCATTTCTTCATATGTCTTTTAGCCATTTGTATGTCCTCTTGGAAGAGGTGTCTATTTAGTTCCTCTGCCCATTTTTTAATTGGGTTCTTTGTCTTCCTTTTGTTGAGTTGTATGAGCACTCTATATATATTGGAAATTCACCCCTTATCTGATATATCATTGGCAATTCTGCTCTCCCATACAGTGGGTTGCCTTTCCATTTTGATGAGAAACAAAAGAAAAAAATAAACAAAATAAATAAATGTCACTGTATCAAACTAAGAATGTTTTGCACAGCAAAGGAAACCATCAACAAAATGAAAAGACAACCTACTGAATAGAATAATGTATCACCAATGATATTCCTGATAAGGGGTTAATACCCAAAATTTAGAAAGAACTTATAAAACTCAACAACAAAAAAACAAAAAATCCAATTTAAAAAGAGGCAGAGGACCTGACTAGACACTTCTCCAAAGAGGACATACAGATGGCCAATGGATAAATAAAAAGATACTCAAAGACACTAATCATCAGAGAAATGCAAATTAAAACCACAATGAGAGATTATCACTACCTGTCAGAATGGCTATCATCAATATATCAATAAACAAGTGTTGGCGAGGATGTGGAGAAAAGGGAAGCCTCATGCATTGTTGGTGGGAATATAGATTGGTGCAGTCGCTGTGGAAAGCAGTATGGAGTTACCTCCAAAAGTTAAAAATGGAAATGCCTTATGACCCAGTGACTCCACTTCTGGGAATTTATTGGAAGAAACCCAAGACACTAATTCAAAAAGTATATACATATTGCTGTGTTCATTGGAGCATTACAGAAGCCAAGATTTGGAAGCAGCCCAAGTGTCCACAAATAGATGAGTGGATAAAAAAGCTGTCGTATATTTATACAACGGAATACTAGTTGGCCATAAAAAAGAAGGAAATTATACCATTTTCCACTGCATGAATGGATTTAGAGAGCATTATGCTAAGTGAAATAAGCCATTCAGAGTAAGACAAATACCATATGATTTCACTTATATATGTGATCTAATGAACAAAGTAAACTAGCCAACAAAATAGAAACAGACTTATAGATACAGAATGACAGCTGTCAGAGTGGAGGGGAATTGGGGGCTGGGTAGAAGAGTCGAAAGTATTAAGTAAAGAAAACAACTCATAAACACACATCAATATGGTGATTTCTAGAGGGAAAAGATGGTGGAGAGAGGTAGAAGATGGTAAATGGGAGATAAATGGTAAATGAAGAAGACTTGGGGTGGTGAACACACAACAAAATATATAGCTGATGTATTACAGAATTGTATACCTGAAACCTACATAATTTTATTGGCCACTATCACCCCAATAAATTCAATAAAAATTTAAAAAGAAGCCCTAGCTGGTTTGGCTCAGCGATTAGCATCTGCCCTCAGACCAAAGGCACGTACCTTGGTTGTGGTTCGTCCTGGGCCCTGGTCAGATAATGCAGGTGGCAACCAGTTGACGCATCCCTCTTACATCTATGTTTTCTCTCTCTCCCTCCCTCCCTCCCTCCCTCCCTCCCTCCCTCCCTCCCTCCCTCCTTCCCTCTCTCTCTCCTTCTCTATCTGAAGATAAATAGAAAAATAGCCTCAGGTGAGGATTAAAAAATTTTTCATTTAAAAAAAATTAGAAAAATTTTAAAAAAATTTAAAAAGAAAAAGTCTTCCTGGCTCAGAGTGTGAGAAGCCTTATTACAACTGGTCAAATAAAGACGTTTTTGGCCCTGGCCGGTTTGGCTCAGCAGTTGGAGCGTCGGCCTGCGGTACAGAGAGACCCGGGTTCGGTTCTGCTAAGGGCACGTACCTCGGTTGCAGTTTGTCCCTGGCCCTGGTTGGTCGTGCGGGTGGCAGCCACTCGATGTGTCCCTTCACATCGATGTTTCTCTCTCTCTCTCTCTTCCTCTCTCTCCCTCCCGCTCTATCTGAACAAAAAATGGAAAAACGTCCTCGGGTGAGGATAAAAAAAAAAAAAAAGACGCTTTTGTATTCTCCTCCCTCTGGCTTTGACCACAAAGTTGTTGCTAACTTGTGTAAGGCTAAGGAAGAAAGGAAACATCTTGCCTTTCTCCTAGCTAGGTGCAGAATAGAGTTTTAATTTTAGCCCTGGCCTGTCTTGCTCAGCGGTTAGCGCATCGGTCCACGGACCAGAGAGTCCCGGGTTCGGTTCCCGCTAAGGGCACGTACCTCAGTTGCAGTTTGTCCCCGGCCCTGGTTGGGGTTGTGTGGGTGGCAGCCACTCCATGTGTCTCTCTCACATTGATGTTTCTCTCTCTCTTCTCCCCTCTCTCCCTCCTGCTCTATCTGAAGATAAATGAAAAAATGTCTTTGGGTGAGGGTACAAAAAAATTAATTTTAAATTAA